TCTGGAACTAGCTCTGTAGACCAGGCTGGCCTTGAACTCATAGATTTATACCTGACTCTGCCTCCCAAGTGCTGGGATTAAAGGCACTTAAAATAAATCTATTTACTTACTTACTTATTTATTTTTGTTTTCTTTTTTTGCCAAGACAGGGCTTCTCTATTTTACAGCCCTAGCTATCCTGGAACTCACTCTGTAGACCAGGCTGGCCTCAAACTCACAGAGATCCGCCTGCCTCTGCCTCCCGAGTGCTAGGATTAAAGGAGTGCACCACCACTGCCCAGCTAAAAAAAAATTAAATTATAGTCAGCAAGATGGCTAACCCAGGGAAGACACTTGCCATCAAGCTTAATGTCCTGGCTTTGATCCCTGGAACCCACATGGTAGAAGGAAAAGAATCAACTCCCACAAGTTGTCCCCTGATCTCCACATGCATGTCATAGGCATGTGCAAGCACACATGCACACTAAATAGATGTAATTAAAACTTTTTAGCCTAAGAATTATACACAGAGGTTGGACAGATGGCTCAGAGGTTAAGAGCACTGCTTGTTCTTCCAAAGGTCCTGAGTTTAATTCTCAGCAACCACATAGTGGCTCACAACCATCTGTAATGGGATCTGGTGCCCTCTGGATAGCAGGCATACATGCAGGCAGAACACTGTATACATAATAAATAAATAAAATCTTTAAAAAAGAACTATACACAGAGCAAGAGTAGTATGTGCTACACCTACACAGGGGCAGAGAGGTCAGAATAGACAGTAACCTGAGGTACAACCCTTGGGCTCTGACCCCAAGGCAAGCCCTCATCCCCATGGCTCTCTGTGCAGGCCCTCTTATGCTGGCAGAATGGTTCCATGCCAGTTTTGGATTGGGCATTATGAACACAATCAAGCACCGGCACTCCTATTGCTCCCCCTTCAGAGGATCCCATTGTCCTACAGCCAGTGGCCAGGCCCAAGTCAAACAAGTAGTTAATATTCCCTTTTATATCAGCCAGGTGTGGTGCTCTGGGAACTCAGTTCCCACTACCACCTCATCTTCCTCCACACACAGCTAAGGAGACCCTCCCTGTCTTCCCCAGAGAAAGGAATAGGTTTCAGTGCTGCTACGCTGCCTTTGAGCTACCAGCTCTCATGGCAAGAGGCCCCAGGGTCATTAGCCTGCCTTCCTACCCCAAGCCACAGCCCCAACCACCAGGTAGAGGGGAGCAGTTAAGTATGGGAATGCTGAAGTCATGGCCTTTAAGCCCACATGGCCCCATTTCCTGAATCACTGAAGCTCTAAACCCAGGAAGCTTCCCCCTTTAGCTCTGCAGGGCATACTGCAGAGGCCTGTGCCAGGCCCCAGACTACCTTCCTGTGCCCTGGATAACATTCCGGAACAGGTAGGGATGTGCACTGGGAGAGAAGCAGCTCCACCTTGCTGTACCCTTGATGCCTCAACCATGAGGGACTTCTTCTCTAAGGAAGTTAAGCAACACAGGGGACCTCAGTCTCCACAGCTCAGCAGGGCCAACAGCTACAGCTGGACAGTGCAAATAGTCCACCTGGGTCTCTGTGACAGGAGAATGACCAGGCCGAGAACACACAGAAGGACTGCAGACTCCATAGCAAACCAGCACACTTTACTGTGGCTCAGACTGCCTCGGACTTATTCCAAGCCCAAGAACTACAATATTGTAAGTACTTGACCAGCTTGGACAGGCATCTGCTCCACTCCAGGCCTCCAAGAGTCCTGGTACAGAGGGTTCTCTGAACAGTCTACTACAGGAGCTGTGTGGTCAGCACATGCCAAGCAGGGTTCACCCACTGCCCACAGGTGATCCTTGTGCCCACCCCAACTGTGTCCACGGTGCTAAAAGCCCACAGGGAAGGCTGAGCCCGGAGTTCAGGCGCGGTCACCAGCTCTCTTCTGCACCACTGCTGGCCTGGACAGAACCTGCTCCTGAAGCCGCTGGACCAGCTCCTCTACGTAGACCTTGAACAGGGGTACAGGGTCCTGAAGGGGAAAGGGCATGGTAAGGCTCAATGTAGCCCAGAGATGGAGCGCTAGGGAGGGTGGTAGCCAGCCGCTTCTAGCTGAACATGGAGAGAAAATGGGGTATGGGAGAGCCGGAGATAGCCAAAGTCATATAAGACTGTTCCGGGACAGCCAGGGCTACATAGAGACCCCAAAAAACAAAACAAAACAAAACAAAACAAAAAAACCAAAACAGGGTGGTGGTGGTGCACGCCTTAAATCCCAGCACTCAGGAGGCAGAGACAGGCAGATCTCTCTGTTCGAGATGATGAGTTCGAGGCCATCCTAGTCTGGTTCCAGGCCAGGCTCTAAAGCTACAGAGAAACCCTGTCTCGAAAAACCAAAAAAACAATCAAAGACTGCTTGCCATCCTAGAGGGCAGAGGGCCTAACCACCAGAACAGGATTGCTTTCTCTTGACACCAAGAATCACAGGCTTCCCTGTACTGATGGCTACCACAGGCTCTAGACTATTCTGGGAAACAGACACAAAAGGAAGAACCTAGGGGATGCTGAGTGGCCAAGTAAACACCCAGTGCCAAAGGTCCCTAAGCATCCAGGGAAAGAAAAGAAAGGACTTCAGGAGAGGAATCATGCCATGCTTCGTCAAAGTGGCAGGAGCCAAATATATAGCATCATATAGGTGTGGCAGTCCCCAAATGCTAGTCTCTGTCCAAAGCAGCCCCCCATTACTCAACCTCAGAGGCCAGTTCCCAGGTGCTCACCTTTTCCTCCAGGAGCCTCTGTTTCTCCACAGCCTCCTCCAGCGTCAGGCCAACCCACTCAGCCTCTGCCTCCGGGATGACAAAACTCTGAGCAAGCAGAAGAAAGGCTCGGTGAAGTGCGGGCCAGGCCAGAAGCCTCAGGCAGCGAACAGGATGGGGAAACTCTGACCTTGTACTTCTCATAGATGGCTACTCTCCGTTCGGGGTCGTCAGGGTGTAACTGGGGGTCCTGGCGAGCAAGCCTCAGCAGCATCCCTCGCTTCAGGTCCATGCCAAACTTGGAACATAGGTCTTCCTTTGGGGTCTGGCAGAAGATTCACATAGGTGCTATAGCAGGGTCCCACCCACCCTACCAGCTGACCCTGCGGGTTCCTCTTCAGTTGATAACCCTAAGCTAGACCAGAGCAGATCAGGCATTGGAATCAGCACCAGCAAGGAAGCCTTTAAGGGTCAAGCCCAATACAATGCCAAGAGAAGAGCAAGCAGCGGTGGTACAACCATTCACAAATGACCTTCCCGAAGGCAAGAAGCTTCCACTGGGACTGCAGCAAAGAGCAAGCAGGCCCACTGTGTTTTGCTAAGACCTGTAATGGGTAGCCTGGGTGCCATGTACCCCCCACCACCACCACCACCATCACACACACACACACACACACACACACACACACACCATACATTCTGCTCTGCACCTCCCTTGACTGACAAGCCTCTGTAGTGCACTGACCCCTGCTTGCCTTGAGAATATAGAAGTCGAACCCGTAGGCCTCATCAATGAGATCCAGGGTCCTCATGGTCACAGTCACGGTGAACTTCTTGTCCAGGATTTCACTGTAAAGCTCCCGAGTGAACAGCTGAGGCTTCCACACCTTCTTCACCTTCGCCGAGAGCTGAGCGTGCAAGAGAGACCCTGTTGATGACTGCTGGGGTGCTTCACTACAGACCAAGTGAGCCCCAAAACACCCTTCTAGGAGCTGGGCTATGTGAGCTTGCCCTCTCCCCTCCTCGGAAGCTCCACAGAACCTCTGCTGCTAGACAGGGCTCCTGGGGCTGGACCTGGATGCTCACGTGGATTGTCTGCTTCTCGCCAGCTAGCCCGCATGCTGCTGGCATAACTGAACAACTGCCACAGGCCAGCAAGTGGCATCCTGGCAGGCGTTTAACACTCTCCTCCCACAACACTTAGCTAGGAGTAGCATTCCACCAGAATGATCGATTGCAGGCTCCGGACTCTGCAAGCTGCCTGAATCCAAACATCTCAGTTTATCATTTTTTATGTGGGAGGAGCAAAGGTCTCCTGTCACAAGAATTAGACAAATACTCATAGAAATTGGCAGATGACAATCAGATTTCACCTCTCCCTCCTCTTCAGCACAAGCCTCAAATCTATCCGTCCTTTCATCTCTGTGGTCCTAGGGATTTGAACCCAAGACCTCAAATAAGCTAGGAAATCATCCTGTTCCGTCGCAGCCCCACTCCATCCTTAATTTTGATGGCTACCTGATCACGACCACCCCACTTCAGGACCCCACTGGACGCTGTCATTGAAGTTTTTCCCCTTGTTAGCATGATCCGTAAGACAAGCGCTTGTGTCAACAAGGCAGACGGTCCGCAGCGCCCAGAGCAGAGCCTGTCCAACACAGCATGCATTTAACAGCCCACACCCACCTTGTCGTTGTTGGCATATCTGTAGCCCAAAATCTGGCCCTCTCCACCCCACAGCCCCTGCTGGGACTCTGGAGGGTAGTGAATTGAAATTGGTACGTCCTCAACTCGCTCGCGCTGCCCGTTCTTCGGGTTGATCTTGAACTTGACTCCGTGAGGTCTGTAGTGTACCGGGGTGGGCGTTCGTTCTTCTTCCAGCGAGCGCAAGAAATGGGCGGGCAAGCGGGCATAGATGCCCTGCCGCAGCCGCAGCTTCTGCCACAGGTACACAGGATACTTGTGCAGAGGCATTGCGTGACCCCCTACCTCTGAAAGTTGCGCGCTCGCGTCCGCCGGAACCGGATCCGGAAGAGCGTCACCGAACGCGTACCTTTGCTCACTGCCGATTGGTAGCAATGCCCATCCATCTAAAACAATCCCTTAGCCGCAGCCTTCTTTAGGGACCGTGGAAAATTTTCTAAGATTGCAATGGTTTAAGGTACCGTCTACCAAGTGCAGCCCGGGAGTTCCCAGCTGCTTTGGCAGGTCTGTTAGAAATGGGGTCCAGCCTCCCTTTCCCTCCAGGGACGCAAGAAAAAAACGTAAAACACTCGTTTGGTTTGAAAAATCATTATAGAATATTAAATTAATCAATTACATAAAAATATGCCTTCATAGAACAGTTTCACATTTTACCACCTCCCCCCAACAATATATACATATTTCCCCTTTCAGGGGCTGAAGTGTGCTTTGGTGGCCAAATAAAGCGTGTCAGTAGCTGGGGGAGCAGCCCAGAAAGTCCATATCCCGACAAAACCAGGCCAAAAGTCCAAGGCCACAGAGCAGTTGGCCCTCACAGTGGAACAGGACCACCGTACCAATCAGTTTAGAGCCCCCAGGAGGCACCAGAAAGATTGGGCCAGGGTTCCAGAACACTCTCCTGAAGCCTCAGCTAATTCAGTAAGGGGTCAGCATCCAAGGGGCAACACAAATTAATGCTCATTAGACTAGGACCTAGGTAGGACCTTTAGGATGAGGAGGGCACATAAGGAGGGTTGTGTGTGCCTTCTGGGGCCACTCCTCACACAGCTGAGTACCCTGCCACTTCAGGTTCTTCTCAGGATCTGTGGCTCCAACAGAGAACGAGGGACAGTGCATGGCCCCCCAGGGCCTGATCAGCTCTTGGACTCATCTACAGCAACAGCAGCAACAGGGCATCCCCATGCCAAGGCAGGATGGTACATGCTGTTAGGGACAGTGGTCTCTGTGGACTCAGGCTTCCTTGTCTTGTATGTCTCACATTACAGCTTCACAAGCAAATGGGACAATAGGGGTCCCTTATCTATATCTTCAACCTTAACATAGTGATCTGCCCACAGATGGTACCTGCGGTCTCCAGGTAGAAGCAGCTGGGGCCTACAGAGGACAGTGGCAGCAGCCACAAAGATTTAGGGATGGAGGAGTCCTCTCCTCTGGGAAAAGAAGCCAAGGGTCGCAGGACAATTTTATTCAGGTGGAAACCTGGTCGGGCTAGATAGGCACCTCTCTTGTTCCTGCCCTAGCTGCAGAGGTCATCAGAGTATCAGGTGTCCTTGAGCCAGCCCTCTCACGTCACTGTGTACAGCTCATCCGGATCATTCCTGCAGATCTGATAGTGACAAGGGAACTTGTGCAAGCAAGCCCACGACTCGGCCTGCTCCTCTGGTGGTGGCAGGAGGAAAGCCGCACTACCAGCCAATAGGATGTGCCAAATGCTGTGCGTGTAGTAGTAATTTTCACTGGTCATCATGGAAGTGTAGATGGCGATACCTACAGAGGCCATGGAGATGCCAGGCAGGAGGTAGAAGAGCCAGCGCTGCCACGAGGTGGGGTAGCACTGACGCCGGTGCCCACAGCGGTACATCTGGAGTGAACAGCCACAAGAATGTCAGCGCCGGCCGAGTGCAACTACAGTTCCCAGGAGTTACAGAGTCTATCTAGGTCTAGGCAGCAGAACTGCATACAGACGCATGGCTTGCGGGCCTCTGGTCAAGACCTCAGGCGCACAGCCATACTGGGGCTCTATGGGTGGCTGCTACTGGCTCTGAGCAGGTGTGAAGCTTTGGAGCCCTTCTAGCAAAACTGGGATCATAACCAAAATTAAGGGCCTGGCTCTCTTCTTGCTAAGTCTAAACAGAAGAACCTATGGGCCCCGTTCCTTACCCACATGAAGGCCATGATCACAAAGGCAAAGAGGCAGGGTCCCATCAAGTTCCAGATGCCCCTGCGATCCATCTGCAAGGACATGGCGATGACCAGTGTGCCCAGGACAAACAGGACCTGGGAGAGACACAGGGATGGTTTGTGGGGTCATGGGGGAGCCTTTGGCTAAACTCATCTATGATGGCATAAGACAAAAGTACTGGTGGTCAGGTATGCTAGGTACCCATTATCAGTTTCTCACCATTCTGGCACATCCGCCAGCTCCTCTTGGAGTTATTGGCAGGTTTTGACGATTTTGATTTATTCCTGCTCAGCCACCTGAGCAGGTGTCCTTCCTCTAGCGCCTTTACTGTGTCCAAAGGTGAACACAGAACTTTTTGAGGACTAGGTGGTGATGCCCGCCCCCAGTGGGCAGTCTTGACCATATTTGCATGATCCTGCATACCAAGTCTTCCAGAATCTCCCATCAGGATGACCTTAGATGCTCCCTTGGAGAGGACCCATACCTAAGTCTCCATCAACACATCTGCCCACAACCAGTGGGCAGTTCATATGCTTAGCACTCAGTCCGCAGGATTCTTCAAAATATTCCTTGCCTACTTTTTCCATATGATCATGGAGCTTCTAAGCATGCCCCTGACGAGCAGTACCCAGCCTGCAGACAGCGGACATAGTTCACAAATACCAGAGTCATCTCCACTGTCCAGCTGCTGCATAAAGTCCCCAGAGTGCCCTAGAACAAGGAACCAGGAACATGGTTGAGGCTTTTTGAGGAGGCATGGCCAGCCTTGGCTCCTCTTTGAGATTAGGGTCCTGAAACGCCATCTTCCTTCCTGGAGTCCTCAGATGAGCACATCTTTCCCCCACAGCTTCCCAGGACTTCCCCCAAGAGCGGCTAGTTATCATTTGAGATGGCACCCAGCCCTTTCTGTTTCGTCCCTCTCTGTCACTCCACATACTGTGTGTGAGGGCCCCTACTTCCCTGGAGCTCGGGCTTGGCATCAGAGGCCACTCACCTGTTTCAGGATTGTCTTCAGACGGGCCATGCAGAGAATGGTCACCCAGGTGGACGCCCCCGAGCCCAGAAAGTCACAGTATTGAAGTGTGTCATAGCTGAGGATGCACAACACTGCCTCCCCCGGCTGGTCACAGGCGTGGTAGAACTGTGAGGTACAGCAGTGAGCAGCAGCCCTGACCGCCCCACCCAATTTCCCCAAAGGGATTAGAGCCAACCCTACCGTGGAGAAGAACATGGTGTAAAAGTAGACAGAGGCCTCAACCAGGAAGGACCGGTGCAGGGACACAGCAATGGGGGCCAGGAACATGAGGTTGCTGAGCGTGAGCAGGAGCGCGGCTGCCCTCTGCTGGGCCACAGTCTGCGCCGTGCTGTTGTCGGTGCAGCTCCACCCGCGCCAACCTAGGGGGCCACACAATACCTACATGTGTGCTGGAAGCAGATAGGCGGCTTCCGAACTTTCAGGCCTTATCCTCACCCAGACGGAGCAGGTATAGACACAAGCCTAATGGAATCCACAGGTGTGGTAGGAGGAAATTGGTACCCACAGGGACTGGTAGAGACAGTGGGCAGGCATGGGCAAGTGGGGACAGCTATGGGCAAGCTGGGTCGAATGTGGAAGACACATGCAGACATGGGACAAGCGTGTGCACTCACAGCAGGTCTGGGCATGTGTAAAGAAGTAAGGAGAAGCATAGCTCGTGCAGGCAGTCATGGGCAGTGGGAAACAGGTATGGACAGGTGTGCATAGATACTGGCAAGTGTGAGCAAGTATGCCCAGCTGTGAGCAGGCGTGAGCTTGGAGAAGGATGTATGGCCAAGTATCAGTAGGTAGGGGCAGGTATGAATAGGTATGAGTTGGCAGGGACAGATATAGAGATATATAGTGGACATGTAGGGGCGAATGTGGCAAGCAGGGACAGATGCGAGCAAGCGTGAATATGCAGGAACTGCCATGAAAAGTGTGGACCAGTATGTAGTCACAAGGAAAGTGTGAGCAGCTGGACATAGGCATGGACAAGCACGGACAAGGGCAACAGTTGTAGGGGCCGGATGGGTGTGTGCAGTCAAGGGCAGGCAGGACACAAGCAATGCCAAGGTCAGAAGGCAACACCTCCCCTGCAAATGCCTCAGTGCCCATATGCCTGGAGTGGGGTGGGGGTGGGGAGACCACAGGGAATACGGGGAGCATGGGAAGGAGGGGGAGGGAGATTTGCTCTGCACATCACTCTCACCTGCCTTGCAGCTGCAGCCTGCATACAGATAGCCATATCTACGGAGCAGGAGGCACTGGCCGTAAGGCCCACAGTCATTCAAACAGGGCACCAGATACAAGATGGTTTCCACACGAGCTACGGCCTGTTCACATTCCCTGCAAAGGAGGGGCCTGAGCGGGCTGGGTGCAGTGCTCTGCTGGTTCCTCTACCACCAGGACTCCCAAGCCCAGCGCTAAGCCCTCTAGGCTCCAACAGCTGAGACACTCATTTTCCCTGCTAGCGCCAACAGGGAGTGGGGGCAGAAAAGGAAAACCCCTCCTAAGACACAGACGCTTCCCTTCGTTGCTACCAGCCCATGTCACGGTGCCCAGGCCCAGATTCACATACTCAGAATTCTCAGGGCACACAAGCTGCAAGGAGAGGTACCAGTTCTCTGTCTCCGGGTAAGGAATGATGAGATTGGCCGTGTGAGAAGAGGCACTCAGAAACATGGGATGGCCCTGGAAGAAGGCTGCACGGGGCGGGAGTGCTCGTCAGAGGTGGCTAGAGGGGACAGTCAGTCTCTCCAACAAGAGTGCCTGCCCAAAATACCTGTGGTGCAGTTGAGTGAAGTGTTGAAGCTGAGAAAGGGCGAGGCAGCATTCACACAAGCTGCTACCAAGGTACCATTTGTGATCTCTGTCTGGAAGGGGAAATAGCACAGGTTAGCCGCCATCAACCCCTAAAAAGGTATCTCGCCTGCCCACCTTGCATGTTAGCTCAGTCATGATGAATATTTATTATGCGGGGAAGGGTGGGGAAGGACCTCCGGCTAGCCCAAGGTTCATCATGGCCTGAATTCCCTTCAGTTGTCTCTGGTTCTAGCAATTCCCCTGCCAATCTGCACAGATAAAATTATGGTAATGACTCCAATGGATCCCCTTCTGGCCCATGCTGTTGGTATCACGCTAGGGCCTGAAAGGCACCCCACCCCAGTCTCAATGCTGAAGTTACTCTGTACCCTTAGATAAGCCCAGGTCACAAGCAACTGTAGACTGCTTCGGTGGGCTTCCAGAGGATACCTGGTTAGCCCTCAGACTGATGATGAGAGAGCCCCCGCTGTCCATGCCTGTGTCAAGACGGAGCCGCATCACAGAAGGTAGGTTTGCATGCACCATCACGAAGGCCCCATTTAGGGGCTGGAAGTGTACAGACACCACGTCCATGTCTTCTCTCATGACTGGATAGTTCAGGAGACAGGAGGGGCCACTGCCTACGCCACCACTCCTGCCCAGTTCCCAGTGGGCAGGGCTTTGGGACGGTCGGCCCACAGAGGTGTCATAGCTCTGGTTTGGGTTGTTTTGCATAAGACGATGGAAGGTCACACTCCAAGGCCTGCACACTGTCAATAGGACAAGGGGCTCAGCCAGAGGAAAGTCTGGAGTTTTGGGGGAGGTAAGCAGAGCCAATCCACCCCTCCCTCCCATGTAGCCCACCTGTAAAAGCAGCTTCAACATTGAAGACCACTGACACATGAGGTCCTGCCAGGCTCTCAACTGTCACTTGTAGCCACCGGCCCCAGGGGGGTGAGGACAGTAGCAAATGGCAGGACGGAGTGAGGCCAGTGCAACTCAGCACCTTTTGGAAGTTTCTAGGCAGGGTGGATGCACCCACTGTGAGACGCACTGGGCAGCCGGGGCTCACACTGGACACACAGCCCTGCAGGTTCAACCGAAGCTCCTGGGTGTATTCAGGGACAAAGATCCTGTGGCAAGGTGGGGACTCAGACTCACTAGCTCATATTGTGAACTTACTTCCTCTAATCTGCTTAGGGAGGGTATCTGGCTCTCTTCCCAACATGTCTCTAAGGTACAGCCTTCTCACCTGCAGGATGAGATAGTGGCACTACCCCCGTTCTAGACCCAAAGGTTGGGGCTATGGGACAGGCTTGACCTCCCCATCTCCACTCACTTGAGGTAGCTGGCGTGGGAGAGCAGCGTCTGTGGGAGGGGGACATCAGGCTCTAGGATGGAGACTTCAACCACCCTCATGGCTAGCATATCAGGCTGGAAGAAGTAGGCACAGGTAGGAACAGAGCCCTGGGAGAGAACAAGGCAGGGAGTGATGGGGTCAGAGAATGCAGATTGTAGGCCAAAGGAAATGGGCTTTGAGGGGAAACAGAGTTGAACCCAGAGTCGAGTAACTAAGGGAACAGTAAGGTCTGCCTCAGAGGTGGACAAGAGGTTGGTGGTCCTCCATGCATCAAGGGGTTTGGCCTTCATCCCAGGAAGTCAGCCCCCTCACCTTCACCTCGATCTTCTGGGATGCGGGAGGGAGGTGAGCCACCACGAACCAGTCCCCAGGGGCTGGGTGAGAGATGTTGACAGAGGTGTTGCCCAGAAGCATGGTGCTCAGCAATGCCCTGATGTGGAAGGAGGCCTGGCTCAAGGTGTTATCAGCGAAGCTAGTGTCCAGCGGGTTGACGACAGGAGGGGCGCCATAGCGGAAATGCCTGGAAGAGATCAGGTCAAGGGTCAGGGACAGGATTTCAGTCAGGCATGGGTGCTAGGGACAGAACACTGGGTACCTACACCGTGATCTCTACGTCAGTGCATGAGGGACCGCTCTGGGACGCGTGCAACAGCCAGCGAAGCAGCACTGTGTCTGGGGGCACGCGGAAGTGGAAGAGCCGGGTGCTGCCATACCAGCTGTAGAAGGACAGCTTTTGTGGGGCCTGAGAGAAGTGTTCTGATACCAGCCCAGCCTCTATAAGGAAAAGGTAACAGTCAGGTAGGTGGGGCAGATAGGAAGAATGAGGCCGCATGGACATCAAGTCTTAGACTACCTCTGGACTTTGTCACTCATACTTCAGTCTTAGCCAAGCCAGAAAACACCTTCTGGCACCTAGACGTTGTCTGCAATAATCTCAAGTTTCTCCTAACAATGAGCAGTTATTCCTCTGCCTCCTTCCCCTAGATGGCCACTGCCTATTCACCAGGGACTTTGCCTTTCTACACGGCAGCATCCTGCAAACACTGAAGTCAGTAGCCCCTAGCACCCACCACCTTCAGATGGACCCACCCAGGGCTGGTAAGCTCTCTTTCTTTCTGTTGGTTAGTTAGCTCCACCCCTTGCATTACATCCTGATGCATCCTGGCCAAGAGATGGAGACTGAAACACGACAGGGGGTAGTTAGGAAGGTGATCCCACCCTCCACACACCCCCCCACTGATATCAGCCTTGATCACTGGCCCATAGCAAAGGCTCCTCTCTCCCACCTCCCCTCCTCTGAACCTCTCCAAACTACATGGGCAGGTAGGGAGGCTTGGTCCAGAAGGTAGTTGCCTCTCCAATCGGTTATGACTTAGGACACAGCCAGATCCCTACTCAGAAAAAGACTATGATGAGGAACTTCTGTCCAGAAGCCTGGATAGCCATAAGAACCAAGGAACAGTCAGGCAGAGGTGGTGCACGCCTTTAGTCCCAGTCCTTGGGAAGCAGAGGCAGGTGGATGCCTGTGAGTTTGAGGACAGCCTAGTCTAAAAAGCAAGTTCCAGGACAGCCAGGACTGTTACAGAGGAACCCTGTCTCTTAACAAACAACAAGGGGCAGGTGGCTTCTCAGCTCCAAATGGCTGACACCACCCACTGCCCTCAGGGCACATACCCATGCTTGGTGGGACAAAGACAGACAACCAGGCAGATAAAGCTCCCAAGCTAGGGCACCACATGGCCTCAGGCCCTGTAAGAACCCTTACAGGCTCCTACCCCTTACCTAGTGTCAGCTCAGGCTTTGAGCCTGTATGATCTTGGGTGTCCCTTACCTCTCTAGACCCCCTGTATCCCTATGGATAGGCTAAGGTAGACTCCCTGTCCCTTTGACGTTAATGAGTGATAAAGTGCCTTAAGAGAAACACAGTACTGTTGGCATCCTTCCCACTCAGAAAGCCTCCCTTTGCTCCACTGTGAAAGTGGTGCCTGCCTGGTTCCCCCAAGAGAGGGGAGAGGGGAGTCAGGTGAGCGGCTGGCTTTCTTGCCAACCATGTGACTCCTCCCAACAGAGGCAGCTGGAAAAAAGATAGCAGCCTGCTGGAAGGACGCTAAGGGAGTTGCCAAGGAGCCTGGCATGGGGGCAGGGCTGAGTGAGGCTCCCTCAGTAATTTCCCAGCTCTCGGGGACCTGCAGGCCCCATTCGTCAGGTTGAGGCCTGAGTACCAGGAGCTGCTAAGCGTCCTAAGGTGGTGACGTGGCAACGGAGCGGAAAAAGTGAGAGGCAGAATATTGGAATATTGCTTTCCGAGCTGAGGCAGGACAGAGTCCTCACCCCTAGGACTGTGACCTCTGAGGAAGCCAGGTGAGAGAGGTCACCCGACAGTGTGCTGACCTACTAAGGGAAAAGTCTTTGGGCCCCACGAAGCCTTTGTGAGGAAGGTCACTTGGAATAGGGCGGACATTTGTGATGTTTGAATACTTAGATGAGACCTACTCAAGGCTGCCTTAAGACCATGTCTAAACAACCCCTCCAGGCTGCCTTGATGAAACACCCAGTTATTTTGTTGAATGTATAGGACGTGGACAATTGGCATGATAGGGTGAGCCCCAAGCAACAGTTGGAAGGATGGGGAGGGCCAGCTGAACAAACTCCCCGCCTGCTACAGGCACCTCTCCGAGCAGTATTTCAGAAAAGCGTGGGGGATGGGGGGGTGGAATCGGAAAGTGGGAAGAGAGCGACAGGAACTGTCAGGAACATCAGATGGCACAAAGGACTGGGGAGTTCCAGGCAATACTGGACAGGTACCCATCTTGCCCATTTCCAAATGTCTAAAGTACACTGTCGATCAGTCCTGCCTCAAGCACAGCCCAGAGGGTCTAAGGTCTAGCAAGCCATAGTCCAAGATGTACCGGCTTAGAGAGCAGAAAAGCAAAGAGCAACTGGAAAACTCCCCTAGAAGAAGGACCCTTTTGTTACATCCATTCTGGTCAGCCAGCATCTCTAGGGCCAGCCGGCAGTACAGTATAATCGGTGAGAACCAAAGCCAGTAATCAAGAGTGACCTTCCTGGGACTGGAATAGGAACAAAATGCTGGCTGGCCCCCTAGTACAGTGTCTGGCCAACTTTCTCCAGCTCTTCCCTCTACCAGAACACATGATGGCCTCTGTGCCACCACGGTTCGGCTATTCTTTGTTGATAAGTTCCGCTACCTCCCAGCTCTTAGGTGCCACAATCGCTACCCCAAGCACAGGGGAGAGGGACCAGGAGGGTAGGTACACTGCAAGTGAGCGAACTCGGCGGGCCCGGGGACAGAAAAGCGAGCGTGGGGATTTCTTAGCCCCGGACGCCCCGCAGGGGGCGCAACCCAGAGTGAGAACAGAGCTACATCTCCGCGCCAGGTGAGCGCACAGGTGCCCCCCGTGAGTCACAATCCGTCCCGCGACCAGCCTCCCCCCCGCCCCCCTGCCCCCGGCCCGCGCCTCGGATGGCGCCGTCGGCCGGTGCGGGCTCACCGCTCTTCTTGC